CGACTGGTTCCTCCACCTCCCCACATATATACATTTCAGAAGGCAAATCAATCCCAAGTATCTGGGGTTATGGACAGATTCCCTCTGCTGAGTTAGTTACACCCCCCAGTGCTCTGTGTTCCTGCCCTGCCCTTTGAACTATAAATGAATTGGTCAATACAGGACAGGCGCATCTGTACTTTTTACGAAGTGTAATAATTTATGATCTGATTTTGGAGATTAGGTTCTGAGGCCAAATTCACTTAGTTTTGAAAGCATCACAGCAGGTTACACAGCTGATAAACTGGCATTAACATTACAGTTAAAAATAGTTATCTGATGCATTGATAGCCTGAAGGCACATACAACAAAGACTTTTATATATAACCCACATATACAATACAAAGCTCTATTAAAACATTTTCCTTTCAGAGTTTTGCAAAGTGTCACACTGTAATTTTCATTTAAATTTAAACTACCTTTAAAATTAAAGTGGTGATCTCCAATGACACATCACCAAGATAGAACAGCCCGAGGCAGGAGTAGCTCCAATAAATTTGGCCTTTTGGGGGAGTTACACCAGAGGACATTTCAAGAGGATGTGCCATGTTTGACTGCACTGTGGCTGCACACCTCTGACTTCCAGCAAGCAACAGTTTACCAGCACTTTTAGAAGAGATGGGCGTAATGGCTGTGTCTGAGCTTTGCAAGCCAAATCCTACATGGAAACTGCCTTATGTGGGCAAATATATCAGAATTTGAGAATGCACACGTATGCATTTTAAAAAAAAAAATAATTTATTTTTATTTATTTATTAATCAAAACATTTTTACTTGATTATTAAATAAAATAATTCCATTTTATTTAATACTGATTCATTTTAGAAGAAAGGCAAATATGGAACATTACTTTCCAAAAATCAAGTTTTTGTTTCAGGAGAGAAGCACAACTGTCTGGTGTTTGGAAGAGACAAATGAGCCAAGGGAGCACTCTCCTCCAGCTCCATCCCTCCCACGGACTCACTGTAATGCCTTTACAGCACATTTGACTTGCCCTGACAACCAACCTGCATTAGAGAAGTGCTTAGAGATCTTCAAATGAAGAAATGTTCATAACTAAAAAGCATTTACTGTAATGAAGCCCCTTAAAAGAGGCTCTGCATGCTGCAGCTGATCTCTAGTATAAGCGTAATTGCACCGAATGTTGTGGAGTGTATTTTCATTCCTCTTCTGCATACATTCAATATCATTTTCTGAGTAAAACAAACATCTGTGCACAATTGTGGAGGTGGGATTTTATACTAGTTATAGTGGATGACCTTCAGTTTTTGTTTTTGCCTAGCAGTCTTACAAAATATGTCAAGTTACAACCCAACCTCACACTTTGACCTTTTAAAATTTACTTTTAAAAATAGAGGATATCTTTTATGCTGCAAATTATGCCTTTATAATCCCATAAGTCAGATATCACAGTCCCACTTCAATTATGCTAAACTCTTATGTTAATTTTAAATCATGTAACTTAATTCCTGGCAAAGCAAGCTGGTGATTTTCAAAATGTGGTTAATGAGGCAAAGTACAATCTAGATTCTGCTACTGAGATCATCTGAATCCCTTAGGTTGCTGAAGATGACTATGGAGAGGCTCTTCTTTACAAAAGTCTGGGTTAGATTTTCAAAAAATGAATTTTTAAGTGCAGTTAGGGGCTATGAAATTTGAAGTTGAGCATACAAAGAAGTTAAATTACTTTCACTAGAGCCATAGAACAACAGTGCGGCTAAAACAATTACGCTTCTGTGCACATACATGCTTTAAAGGCCTTAAGTAGTGTCCTCCCCTTTTAAATCACAAATGCAAACCGTACCAGATTTTCAAGATGACAATCTAGGGACCTGATGTCTGTGTCCACAGATGCATGCAAATCAATGTCATTTTCCCTCTCATTTGCAGAAGCCAAACATTTGCTAATAACTTCTTTCACCCCCCCTTGACTCAAACAATAGCTTTATCTAAGACCAGTTAGTAGATGAAATCTTATGAGACTGTACAGCTTTTTCAACACAATTACATCCCCCCAACCCCCGAATCTCTGTCATTCCCTGATCAGATGATAGACTGAAAGTTTGTCACTAAAGCAAGCTCAAGGTGAAGCCTAAGTTCTTCAGAGACTTTGTTATTTACTACTATTTATTTCTCTGTATTAAAGAATTCATACAAAACTCATATAAATTGGCCTCCATTCTTTATTATCATGTCAAACTTTTTTCACTCATATGTTTTTTGGAAAATATTGGTACATGAGCCATTTTTTTTTGTCAGTAAATTGACAATTAATTAACACACATCCACAACAGACAAGACAAAGCAAATATACAGACATCCAAAGGTTGATGTACATTTAATTTTTAAGTAACATCTTCAATGGCCTCCCTACAAGGCAAGAGAGATTCATTCAGCATTTGAGGTGGGAATCAATACTTACAAGAGCAGAGGATCTAGAGATCTCCTGTGCGTCTGTGGAAAAGATGCTTTTTACAGCAAGGTCAAATCCAAGTGAAATCTAAGGCAGTTTTCACATGAGTTAGGAGGCTGGATGACACAAAATGAAAACTCTGGCAGGAGCTTCTCTTTAATGTCCTAATGCATGGTCCTGCTTGAGAGCAACAGTCATGAAAGTGCATGGACAAAAAAAAAAAAGAAAAAAAAATGTGCTGGGTAAAGACACATGGGAACTCAATAACAGCCATTAACCGGCATGGTGCACAACACGGGAGTGGCAGCGTACTGGTGTCCAGCATGACAGCAGCTGCAAGGAACCAGCTCTCCAGCACAGTGCCCCAGGGGCCGAGCCCTCGGCCACTGGGCAGCTGCGCTCCCCATGGTGCCCTGCGCAGAGCAGTGCACCTCCGGCATGCCCTGCTCTGGGACAGAGCCTGCAGGAAAATCAGGAGGGATTTCTGCCAGCCAAGAGGGGAGTCAGACATCATCTTGAGTCTAAAGGGGGACATTTAGGGACACATTGTTCACCTGAGGAAAGGCACGCATCAGGGCGGTTCAACGGTTGGGTATCCCATCCCAAACACTGGTGTTAACACCTATGGGTCCGTCCAGGCACAGCAACAGCTCACACAAGTAACACTGTGTGCGTTTCCCTGTCCAAGGCATTACTGCACCTCCTTGTTGGTTCCACTGAACGTGGTGATGATGGCTTGTGGGCTTTTTCCTTCTCCTCTTTGTTCCATGGCCCCAGGGAACAGGCTGGCTTCAGCTATGGGTGCTGCTAGTCACATACAGCACCACCTCCGACTGCGGCTGCCCGGTGTGCTTTTACCTTTCCCCCTCGGAGTGGCTTGTCCTGCTGCGAAGAGAGACGTGCAGAGCCTGCTTGGTTACACACTGGCACCGTGGAGGCTGGAGGTGGCTTTTTTTTCTCTTCTGAGGAGAAAACTGCAGGAGAAACAAGCAGTGAGGGTACATAGGAAATGGTCTCTCCTTTCAGCAGGGACCCACAATTACTCCTGTGGAAGGACTGAAGCCGTACATTTGCCTGAGATGAGGGAAAGGACAGCAATAGCGCTAGTCGTGAGTATTGGTTGGGAACACTGGAAAAGGACATTTTACTTTCATCAGTTTCCCGCCAGCCTGTTTCCTTATTCTACAACTTACTATATCAAGATGCTGGAGCATGATGCCCCAGACCACTCCAGGAAGCAAAGAATAGCTGTCATTTTTATTTTGGAAGGGCATAGGGATTTCTCCCTAGCCATTTTGCAGATTTCTCCTCCTCCTGGGACACCCTGGCCACCCATCTTACAATGCCATGTGCAACTGCGGGTTGCAGGAATGACCGCATGCATTGGTGAGACAGCAGTTGAGGGAGGAGAGGGAAGAGGAGGAGAGAAGGTACCTTTTCCTTTTATAACCAGGACTGTGGGACTCTGGACACAACTGCCTCTAGGATGAATCACCAATACCCATCCCACCACATAACACTGCAGCATCCATTCCACCCCTGGGGTTTGCTGGCTGCTGACAAGGTAGGAAGGACAGCAAAACACAGGTGACTTCAGGAAGCTCTGGGGACAAAACCAGTCCATGGGTTTGGGAGACAATGGGCATACACACCTTCTGTGTAACAAATTGCTGGGAGCTGAGCTGATTATCGGGCACTGGCAGACCAAGAGCGGTCACAGCAGTTGCAATGAAGTTGTTTCTCTGTACAAACCTTATAATGTCCCATAGCTACCACCCTAAGACTTTGCCCTGTCACCAAAGATGCAGACTATCTTGAATATTGGGACCACAGTATGCATCATGTGGTTGACTCCACTGTAAATTAAAATGGTAATTTTAACTCTAGTGCATCAATCAAAATGCAGGAGTGGACTGGGACTTCAGATCACAGGCTTACCCGATTTTACTCTGCTCAACAGTTGAGCTGCTGTGTTATTTGTAGGTTTATGCATTTGTATTCAAAAGCATCCTTCAATAAAAACCAATCAGGTCTAAAACCAGTTACAGTCTAATGGTAATCAAACAACCAAGCCTTGCAACTGAGAATGCTGCAAACATTTTAGAAAATTAGCCAATGCTTCTTTATTAATAAGTGACAGAAAGTAAAAAATACATTCAAAAATAGTTTCAAAAACAATTTCTAAAGCAGACACACCAAAAAAAAAGAATCATCCTACTCTGAATGCTTTTTTTCTTAAACCATTAAAAGAACATTAGGTAAGCTAATGCAACAGCTGGCTGCGCTACTGCTTCCACAATATAATCCATAATGGTAAAAGCAGCTTTTTCACTCATTTTAGTGCAATTTATGCTGTTTACAGGTCTTTTTTTGTGCATTCTCCTATAATTTAATGTCAATTGATGTCACTCGAGCTTATAAAATCCCCACTAAGTCAAGACAACTCCACTTAGCAGTAACTTTGTTTCCTTTCAGAGCTCATATCAAAGTAGTTGTTTTGAATCCCAAAATGGTAAATATCTAATAGAAGCCTGAAGCTATTCTGGTGCTATACAGCTGGTGATGTATAATTGAACATTAAGTAATCCAAGTAATAGAAGTCGTAGGTCAGCTGTCTCTCCTCCTTAGACAATTTCTTTAAGTATTGCCTCACTACTTCTGCACTTGTTCTCTCATCAGAGGAATGTCTGTCTTTGAATTTAGGAAACTTCAGCTCGGCTGGAGCACCTACCAGCTGCAAAAAGTAATTGGCATCGTCTTCCAGGGTTTCAAACTTTCCTATAAAATCATAGTTGATGAGGCAGGGATAGCAGAGCTTACTGACTTGCTCCCAATGAATGTCCATTCCTACTGGGCGATGAGGATCTAACAAATATTGGATAAACTCCTTGAACTTAACTCCTGATCCTGTTTTCAATGCTTCTTCATTGGCGTTATGTCTATACTTCTTAATTATTGCCTTCCCAAATACTGGATGGTAATAGCTGTTCGGATGTTCGAACTTATCCCTGAAGGCAGATACCAGTCTTTCCATAGGATCACGTACAAATATAGTCTTGGTGTATGTGTTCAAGCGTGTGTATATCCCTTTTAGGTCATAACTGTCCAGTTTCCTTAGATGCTTTCCATAGTGCACATCGTCATGGGAAATGTTGTGTGCTGAAGTGGCGAGTCCATTAAGCACCATGAGGACCCTTTTCCAATTAGAGCAGCCTGCTTTTGGCACTTCGCAGTACAGGACCTTGTGCCTGTCCTCCACATAAATTCTTGATACCAGGTGCACGAGGTGGGTTCGCAGCTTCTTTCTGCTGTTGTATTTCTTACAGAAGTCATGCAGGAAGGACCTGCGCTTTTCCTGGGTGCTATCCACGTCCTTCCACTTGCCACCCTTGACTAACGTCTTGTTTAAAGGGTGCGGTGCAGGAGGCAAATACACCCCTCTGAACCGGATGAGAGGTGACTCAACCCTCTTCTTCTGGTCAGACAGTTGGCTCACCAAGGAGGCAGCCACCACACTGAAAGGGTCAGCCTTGCCCTGCCAGTGCCTGCCACCTGAGATGGCCATCTCGTGCTTTCTGAGGCCAGGAGGAGCACTCCTGCTCCACACTGCTCTCCTCGGCATCCCCGAAGGAGGGAGTGTGAAGTCCTGCAAACATGGAAAGGAGCAGAGGTTACAATGCAGCGACAGCCCAGCCTAGCATATTCACATTGCAACAGCAGCAAGGATGGCAGTGCACACTTGCGACCAAGCCACATTTAATACTACAAAGTCTCGTAAACCACTTGATCGATAAATCTAATTTAGCAACAAGCTGGGCTAATTACTGAAATACATGCTTCTGAAGCTTACCTGTTAGCACACAGTATGTCTTCCTACAAAAAAAAATAGCTTAAGCCACACCTTTTAAGAAATCAGAAGAGGTTCACACAGGGAGGCTGACAGTCCTGGTACGGGTGGCCAGGTGCTTTTCTCTACCGAACACATTTTCCCCTGTGCCAGCACTGGTTGAGTTGCATGGCCGCTAACAGCTCTCCGGAGCACACTGGCGCAGGCACGCTAGCAGCTGCTGCATCTGCTTCCACCGCTGTGACTTGGAGCAGGCCTTGTCCCCCAGTGGCTGCAAGGGCAGCACTGCTGGCAGGGGACCAACCTAGGGCTCCTAAATAGCTGACATCAGTAGGTTTGAGCAGGTTGTAGTGACAGATGAAATCCTCCCTCCAAAAAGGTCCTATTCCTGTCCCCCTATAGGTAGAGGCATTGGACTGCATGCACATACAGGTGTCTGCAACACGGATGCCTGCACCTGAGCTAGCTGCTTTCACAGCTGATAAGGCAAAATAGGTGCCTTTAGAGCCTATTCCATCTGACTTATTTAAACATCAACATTAATGACATCAACTAACTAAACATCAACTAGTGACCCTGCAAAGAATGTGAAAAGATGAGACTTTCCTCCCAAACATCTCTTTTCATGTCCCCAGCCACCGTGCAATCTACAAGCTGCAGAACTGCAAAGCTTGGATCCGTATTTTGCCATCAAATTCTTCAGGGTCTTGTGTCATGCAAATTGACTGAAGAGTTTCTTGCAGTTTGAATATTTCTGCTCTCTCATTCCCGAGTGGAGTCTTGTGTGTCTACTAAGGCTTGTAGATTTTTTTGCCCTGTCAGTAGGCAAGCCTGCTGCATTGGGACATCTATACAGCTGCCTATTTTCATTACACTTCTGGAGAGGGGGGATGCTGGTCAACAGGTTTTTAAACATCCTGTTGCAAATACCAGATAGCCAAATGGTTAGACAGACACACATGCACAGACTGCTGGACTGCTTTCATAAGCCTAACTTTTTTGGAAACCTACATAAAAAGATTCCTCTGCCATAAACTGATTAAACATTTACTGGAAAGTTGATTTGTGGACTGGTAGACTATAAGTGTGGATTTGGGGGATGGGAAAGTTCATAGGCCGACTCAAATAAGGCTGTTAAAAGTTCAGAGGAACAATGTAAGAAATGGTAATGCATGGAACACAATTTGAATTCCAGTTTGAAATAAACTGTATGGAAAAACAAGCAGTTCCAAGAAAAGTTAGCCTATCTTGCAGTGTAATAATTTCCAATGACAAAAACAAAACCGGGGGATCAGGCTATTCTGTATTGCTGCAAACTACTGATGATCAGGTCTTTGTTTTCACTGCATTGAGTAAAATGATTTTTGTATTGGTGAAAGCAAATAAAAGAACAGAGCCATGCAGGACCTGTACAATTGTGAGAGGTGTTTTTAGAGCTGCAAAAGGATACTTGAATTCTTTCAGTTTGACATGGTCAGTTTTTCTAAGATAATTTGTTTTTTTAATTCTGTTGTCTAATATTTCATTCTTTAACGCAAATGAAACACATAGAGATTTATCCCTTCTGCCCTGGGACAGAAAGAATTCAGGAGCATAGTTAGTGTGCAATAACAGAAGGTAGTACTAGTAGTAAACCAGGGGATGACTATGAGCCTAATGGGAATTTCAGCATCATGGTGAATGGTGACTTACAAGTGCTACTGCAGAACCACAGACTTACAAATAAATTAAACACTTTGACCTTAAAAGGAAAACCTGGAACTTAAAAAGGTGAAAATGAAAAATACGGGATACACAGAAATCAACCACACAATACCAGGCTCAACAGAAGTAGGAATAAAGTTACACTACAATGCTGAAGTAACCAAAGATCGTGAACTCATTGGTGTGGCTCTGGGGAATTTTATAATTTAGAAGACAGTCTCTGGTGATATCTGACTGTTCCCCAATGCAGAGAAAATTCAAGAGAGGGCAGCAGGCTTCCTATGGTATGTAATCCGAATTTAGCAGTCTATTTCAAGAGATATTTCAGTGCAAAGACACTTAAACCATCTGAATTTCAAACTAAAGCCACTAAAATGAGCCCTACACTCTAGAGGAAAGTTCAGCCTTCTGAATTCAGCCTGCCATCCTGAGCTAGTGGAAGATGCCTCAGTTCCACCAGGCCAGGAGGGAAAAGGACAGACTGAAATATGTATGGTCTTGATTTTGTTCCATTTCAGACAGTCTGCCTGGGATCCAGGACCAACCTCGGGGGATAACCCAAGGAGATACCAGACGAAGATTGCATTTCAGTCTCAGAAACTGTGAATGCAGCTGTAGGAACCACTACTGAAGGATTTTTCATGGGATGAAAGACTTCAGAGAAGGATGGGCAGAACTATTCAGAGAAATCTCAGGTAACACCCTGAAGGAACAACATATGCACAGTGGGAGTCACTTGAAAGGGGCTCCCTCCAAGCAAGATGAGGCAAAAGAAGGAAAAACCTATCAGGAAAAAAAGCCCCAAACAAAAGGAAAAAAAACAAAAGAGACCTAGGGGAAAAACAATGACATGGGAAGTTCTGAGGACAAAAAAATTATCTAAATATGTAAAATACTATTAGTTGCTTCCCCTTTCCACTTCCCCTTCTCATTGAAACACATATCCCGTAGTGAATATAACAGTATTGGCTAATAAATGTTATTATAAGCTCCATGAGGGGTAGTGTGCTTGCAGTAAATGCTGGCTGTAACTTCCTCTAAGAACAGAAATGGATGGTGATAATTTTCAAAGGCATAAATGGCTGTTACATTGCCATGGAAGTTTTCCAACTTAAAAAAAAAAAAAGAGATCAAACCTTCCTATACACTTGCCTGAGTAACTAGGTTAGTAGCTAGTAAGGGTTAGATGAATGAAGGGATGAATCAAGCTTTACTTTTGATGAGAAATGTTTAACTAGGAAGTTTTCTTGGGAAACTAACAGAAATTGTTGAATAGACAGTGCCATATTTCTTAAAAAAAAATACCTGACAGTCTGGCATATTTAGCTGCTACCACTTTGATGTGCATGACAGAGCTGAAAGACAGATACTCTAAGAGGATTTTAATGTTTTATGATACTAGGCTTACACAAAGTGAGGTGCATTCTTTGGCTTCCTCTTGATGCCAGTGACTTTTCAATGCCCATTTTATGACACTTTAAAGATCTGAACATTTCCATGTTATGTTGATTTTTTTTCACAGCAGGAACAGGAAAAGAAGCAGCTTGCAAAAGCAATAAACATTTTTTAAAAAAACCTTGTCCATTATATCTACGTTCCTAACAGTCCACCTCACAAGCTGCTGAGCACCGTTATTTTGGAAAACACCTGAACATACACCAACAACAGGCAGCATGTAGGTAACCCAGATGAGTCACTAAGTGGATTCAGATCTTCCCAGGTAAACAGTCCTTACCAAACTGTTTGAGCCAAGTGTCCAAGTACAGGGATGGCCATTCATGGATTTCCAAAGAGCTGCTAAGTTTGGGAACCAGCTGCCTGGCATGGGAGATGAACTCCACCACCACCTTGGACAGATGCAAGGGTGTCCTTGAGACATGCTGACAACCTCTGCAGCTGGTTGTGTACACTTCATCTGAGAGTTAAAATCCCATGAAGTGTTGCACCCTTGCCAGTAATTATGCAGGGTGCCTTGTTCTCTGTTTGCATTAACACATTTGAAAGGAAGTTAAGAAATGGCCATGAGTCCAACTTAGAAGAGTATGCACATCATCTCTGTCTCTCCTTAGCTAGGCAGGAACTGAAGATGGGTTTAAAAATTAGTTGAAATACAAGGAAAAAAGGAATATAACAGTGTGAGGTGTTTGGCTACTGGCAGGCAACTCAGTGAAGCTGCTGAAGCAAAAGGCATTTTTGAATCATTAATGGGTTCATGGATTTTTTTGGACATTTTTATTACTGGAAATTCCCTGCTCCTCCCAATCCACAAAAGTATTTCTCCTCACTGTAAAAATAAGTAGCCAATACCTTCTGTTACACACATTGAACCTGTCCTTTCCTTTAATACCTTCACAAGCCACTGGGGTAGAAGAGATTGACTACTGCCAGGAATGGTTAAGACTCATCCAATTATGCTTTGTGGTGGTTTTACAAGGCACGGGTGGGATCTCATCTAGACAGTTTGCAATGAGAGAAACCTGCCATGCAACAAGATAATGATGTATTGGAAAGGATGATATTCCAGGGCTGATTTACAAAGATTTAATGGCTTGCAGAGCAGACAGTGCTGTGTTTCCTAAATGCTTTATTGCTGGATCTTAATTTTTACTAACAAGAATAATAAAATTAAGTGAGCCCAACAGAAAATGTAGGACAAAGAACAGGGGAGAAAAGAAATATTCTTTTTTATTGTGCTTTTCTGTGCTGCCAAATAACTACATTGTAAGTATTAGTAGTGTATGGTTTAGTTCTCAACATCTAGCTAATATGTCTTCTGTCCTAAAACATGCTTCCTGAAATAGTCCTCTGAGGTGCTTCTTAGGAGCAACTGCATGAATCACCTCGGACCCTACTGTGCTCTACCTTTTACTGTGGTTTGCACTTGACTGTTGCAGGTTTGAGTGCCCTGAGGACCCTCTCAGCACTATTATACTAAATAGTTAAGATGGGTGCTCTGCGAACACATGGATATTCAAAGATGATAAAAACGTCATTCCTTAAGACAAGAACAGGTTGAAATATTCTTTTTTTCTGATGAAACTTAAGAAAAACAATTATTTAGAAGGACAAAACATTTGTGTTTTCTAATCAACCCAGGCAGGGGTTCTGCAGTACGTACTCACAGAAACTTACCCACAAGCAGCAGCAAAGACCCCCCAATGATGAAATGACAGGAGTTTGAAATACATGCTTGGAGTACATTGTATCTTTGCTTACATCCCAGCCCTTTGGTACTAGGCATATTCAGCAGTGCCAAAGTTCAGCATGAACTGAGAGCACTAGATACTTTATTTCAATGTATAAATGTATTTATTTACATCACTTCTCATATGAGGATTGTATTATAATGACCATATAATTTCAAGACCTTACTTGTTTACCTAGGATCTCTCTGTAGAAAACAGAGAGAACAGGGCAGGGGGAGTGAGCGAGCGGCTGCATGGTGCTTACTTGCTGGCTGGGGTTAACCCACGACACAGAGAAAGGCTCTTCTGAGACAAGGTTCCTTTTCTGACTCACTCTCTGATTCTATATTGATCAGGGAGCACATGGAGATCAGTCTCTTAATTTAGGTATTTAGATGAAGGCAGCTTGAATACTGGAGGGCCATAAATCACACATCCTCTTACTTGGGTTGTAGATACGTGTGAGTCTTTGAAAAGGTAATATATAGCTTCAACCTAAACCTTATTTGCTTAACATATCAAGTTTTTCACATAACTGGGCACAGTTAGAAGGATTTCTTCAGCAGAGTTTCATGATTGTGGCAGATGGCTGAGAATTGATATGTAGTTGAAATATGAGGAAAAGTTTGCATGACTCCTATCTTCAGCAAGCCAGTGAAGCCTGGAGCTATTACTACCTCACTTTAGCTGTAAAAATGTGTAGAACTATACTTACACATGTATGTGTAAGTTTTCTTAAGCCTGCAAAAAGGAGGAATTATCCTTTCTTGTGCTAGAAGACTATCTGGAAAGCATCATTCAGAATGGCCAGACTCCTCTACTACTATGCTACCTGAGCTAACATGTAAATATGCTCACAACTTTCTCATACCATAGCAGCTGTGTAGTGTAATGTTGGTGAGCTAAACAAATCCCTACAGGAGCTCCCAATGGAGAGACTATCCAGGCTGGCCACAAGTGACAGGAAATATTTGCTGATGAGGTGCTTCACCTTCTCTGCAGTGGAGATAATCCTCTTGATTCATCACTTGTGCTTAAAACAGCTACTCCAGAGATAGGCACCACTAACCCCTCACCTCTCAGTGGAGTCATGAATTTTTGGCTTATCTAATTTATTCAGGGCAAATCACCACTACTCGATTCCTTACAAGCCAGGCTGACATATGTATTCCTTGTGAATGCTGCCAGTTTAGCAGAGGCACTTCTGTCAGAGATACCTTGTGGCTCATACACAATTCCATTATTGAAAAGGAAGAACGAAACAACTGTGTTTTGAACTTTCATAGTTCTTTCTGCCCCTAAAGTTCTCAAGAACCCACAAAATAGCAGCAAGCTTACCTTTCCTCTGGATTAAGATCTAGGAATATCTTGTCTGTGGAGCCATCAGTCCTGACAGGCAAAACCTTACTATAACAGACCACATTTTCCTACGAGATATGTATCCCTAAAACACATGTACTTGTACCAAGCATCTCTGCAATTACTAGAGTTTGGGAAAAAAAAAAGAAAAAAGAAATGAGTATAGAAGGTGCTCAGAGCTTCCTGCAGAGACTAAAAGGCAAACTTTATAGTTTGTAGCTGAAATACAATTAGGTTCAAGGGAGGTACTTGTGAACACTGAGCCAGACACAAATAAGAATAACTGATCATAGTAAGAAAAAAAAATACTGCAGGTAAATTTTAATTAGCAGATACCAGTAATTTTAAATACTGCTTTTCAAAACACAGCTTTGTGAATCAGTAACTATTGCCCCTTGAATCTGTTAGCAGAAAGTTTGGCATCTCACTGCAGGGTGACTTGGAGTTATGGCAAGGGCACAGACAAAGTGAGTGAAGAAAGAAAGGGCAGAGGGAAAGAGATTTTTTCTTTTTAGTGCAGCGTGGCCCAGTGTCGGTGAATGAGCTGGTGTGGAAAAATTTGAAAGGAGAGCACCAGTCCAGAGCTGGTTTTGGAGGAGAACAACCCAGGCCCACAGGCAATGGGGAAAGTGGAGAGGCCCAATGGGGTAAGATAAACAGTAACATTATCAGGATTACAGTAGTAGTCCTGTCCCCATTTAATAAGGGGACAGGAGGAACCCATTTGTCTTTGCCTGAGACCCTCACAGATACACGACTCCTAGCTTTGCACAGGGCTCCCCTCCTCTCCTGGCCCCCTGCCTTCACCTACAGAAAGCACGGTCACCCATGCTAATGAGGCAAGACAGTCTGCATGAGCCACTTCCACAAGCTGATTCATATGGTTAGCAACTTGGATGAAGGAAATTAATCTCTAATTTTACTTGCCAATTCTTGTTCAAGTCTGGAATTAACTCCCTCCTGTTTCTGCCCTTACAGTCAAGACATTTGGTTTCTCCCAAACATGCTCAGAACGGGAAGGGTAAGAAAGATCAAGGCACAGTTAATAGAAAAAGTACCAATAAACATGCTGTTATTATCAGAAACTAAGTAACATGTAACTTAGTGTGACAGATTAAAGATCCACCAAGACAACTGCAACCAACTATTGAAAACAAAAACAAGCACCCCCCCCTCCCCCCCCCCCTTATTACTAATAAATAAATCATTGTCAAGGTCAATCAATAGTAATGATAAATTGGCTTCTGGATAGTGCAGTGCTGATGCTGTTTCTCTAGCTTTCTGAAAACAGTTTCATGGGGCTGGTTCTTTGCAGTATAACTTACAGACTTGTAAATAAGCACAGAGCCATGGCAGCCCAGACAGCCTGTGTTTGGACAGAGCCTACATCCAGTTTGCACGGAGTGCTTGTCTCCAGATGTGTAGCTAAGATGCACTGTTAATAAGAGGCAACTTTCAGATCATGGCCCACTTAATACTTGGCCATATTTAGCCCAACTTCCTTCCTATGCAGTCACACTCGTTTTGGGCACAGGTAAACCAGTATGTTCAAACAGCATTTAATTCTGAGCTCAGTCCTCCTCCTCTGTGTGTACTCTATTAATAAAACCTAAGTCAGCCACTGCAGTCAGTGGCCAGAAATCTTCATCAGCCCTCACTCTTATTTCTGTACAGAACAATATCATAGCAAAGCAGCTTAAACAACCTGAAATTCAAAATGGATTCAAACTAAGCGCACAATACTCATTTTATAAAATAGTATTAGAAAAAGACTCTCGGGTTCCACTGACTGGTAGGTTTACTATATATATATACACAGGGAGTTTAAAACTGAAGATGGCACTTTCAGGTAATCTCTGTATATTACATATTGGTCTCTTATTTGAGTTCATTAAATAATGTTAACCTGACTACTTTTTCTTAACTTAAAGCACAGAAGCAAGTCAAATAACCTAAACAGTTCCCTCTGTTGACAAATGCAATTCTCAAAATCATTGCTTCCAAATACATAGTAATTCATATACACAGTCATTTTATGAAGAAGAAAATAAGCAACGCCTCTTGCACATTCACAACTCAAGCCAGGCAGGCATTTTTGACCACATTTCCTATTTTAAACAACATCTATTTTCCTCTTTAAAGATGAGGACTGATGCCTGAGGCTAGACACCAACATCTTTTTATCCAGAAGTATTAGGGACCATGTCTTGGCACTTGCTCATCAACACGCACCCTGCACAGGGGGCACACAGTCCCCATTGCCCCATCTGCATGAGTAGATATATTTCCAGGGAGGGAGATCTAACTGCTGGTCATTAACACTGGAGGTTAACTAACGCTGCATGCTTGGACTGAAACCCTGGCTCCTGTCTTCCAGGGAGCACTGTAACCTCCAGACATCGGATGAGCCTCTCTTTCTCTCTAGTTCACTTTTATATACAGGAGGGATATATAACACGGACCTTACAGGTAGCAGAAGTTGTAGGCTTGAATCTGCTTGGGCAGAGGAAGAAAATGAACATGGACTTCCCTATTTTAGGGAATGACTGACTTAGTTTTCACAGATATCCCAACACCATGTTAAGAAGACTGCCTGGCATACCTGTACCTTATGTGGTCCAGTCTGGCAGGTGTGAGCTTTCCCAGCGAAATGGCCATTTCTGGGTTTCCACCACACTGAGATAAATGCCTGGGTTGGATCTGTCCTGCCAACAGGAGGGCACACCTGTACCCACAGAGCAACAAACCTATGAGGCTCAGCTGCCTCCTCTGGGAGGTGATGCATGAGCAGATGTTGTCACAGATTTGGATTTCAGTTGAATTTAGGCACTTTGGTTTCCTTCCAAACCTGCCCCCCCTGAACTACAATGAAGGTATAGCTACTTAAATGTTGCTTAGATGTTTGTTCTGAGTAGCTAAATGTGGAGCTTGGG